GGGCAATTTTTGTTCACTATAGAATGTCAAGTGAGTACATGTACATGAATGTTACTTACAGAGCTGAGTTTTGAGGACAGACACCCACAGACAAGCTAAAAGGGGAACTATTGGTGGAGTGAGTATTGGAGGCCTGTGGAATATTGAGATGCTAGCACAGCAAAGGACTCCAGATATCACTGATGATGGAACTGATGTCCTGCAGAAAAATCCTGTGCCAGACATCCAAGGCCTTTCAGACTCGGCAAGGATTGTGGTACTCAATACTTATGATGAGGTGCTACCGATCGGTAAAATGCTGAATTATCAAAAATTTCCTGCAATCTCCCCAAAGAACCATGCGCCTTGTGTTCATGGAGTCCAGCACTAAGATCCTCACCGATGTACCCAATGCAGACCTTTCAGTATTCACAGGTGTTACATCAGGTTAGGTCTCAGAGTCTTACTCATCCTTGTAGGCTATTGCAGATCATGTTAGGCATGGAAAACCTAGATGCCAGTGTCATTCAGGAAGGACTAAATGCAATAAGAGCTGCCTATGAAGGGAAGTGTAATGGACCAGATGAACCTGATGGGTAGACCTTGAGTATACGAAACACTTCAGTCAGTGAAAGACTTCAGATCAAGTGTCTCAACTTGATGTACCCCAAATCGGTTGTGTTGGATTGTTGCCTTGACATAGCAAAGTTTTCGCAGGAGAGGATCGTGGTCAACGATGAAGGATTGCCAGACAAGGGTGCCAATGACTGATGAATAGATCCCAGGGCACTGGACAGATTGATTGTGGAGATGCCTATCAATGTGTGGCTCTCTGATAGACAAAAGGGCTGAGAATACTGCCAGACTGCCTGGAGGCCTCAATATCCAGGAAGAAGATTCGATCCAAGGTGAGCCAGATGCTGCTGTGTGTGAACCAGCTGAAGTGTCTCAGGAACTGCTGGAGGTACTGTGCTGTGTGATAAAATGATGAAAGTGTCATCCACAAACTGAAGATAACTGTTGCTTTCAAATCCACGAAAGCTGTACAGAACTATATGATGATATTGGCCAGAACTGGAGATGGGGTTAATCCTGTGGAAGTTCCAGCTGACTGCTTGAAGAATTGACCTGTCCACTGGATGAAGGACGGCAGGATGTAGATGGGTAGGAGATCACAAACCTAATCCAGAGAGAGGGTTTCACACTCACACAGCTTGTCTTCATGAAGGTTTCCTGACCGAGACCTTGAGACATGCCTCACCCATGGGATTGGTGATGAATACCTGGAGTCTCCACTGAAGCTGCACATGGCTTTGTTGGGATCACAAGTAAAGGTGTTCGCCGCAGCAGCAGCAGCAGCAGCAGCAGCAGCAGCAGCGCAGCGCAGCGCAGTGCAGCAGCAGCAGCATGATGATGATGGTGATGGTGGTGGTGAGGGTGAGGGGGGTGGTGGCGGCCGCCAGTGGGGGTGATGGGGATGGTGAGGGTGATGATCCCAATGACACCATGAGCGCAACCTCACAGTGTTCCCAACGACACCATGGTCAACCCCGATGAAGGCTACCAGATATTCACTGCCATCCCCACAGGCTACTCATGCCTCGGTGCCAAGGGGGACTCCGACTTGACTACGCCCTGCAGAAATATGAAGCCCCACACTCCAAACCAGGTTCATGATCTGCGACCCACCTACATCCTGCTGTCTTTCTTCCAATGAACAGCCAGTTGTCCAAGCAGCCTTCTGGAACTTCCACAGGATCAACTCTATCCCCAGTTTTAGTCAATGCCTTCATATAGGAGTACTGCCTTCGTAGATCTGAGACCAAGAGTTTGTCTTCAGTACATGGATGAGACTCTCATCACTTCATCATACAGCATGGGACCTCCAGCAGGTCCTGAAAGACTTCAACTGGATTTACAGCAGCATCTGGCGCAGTGAGGATCAGGCGCCTTGAATCTCATCCCCGGATGCTAAGGTCTGAAAACAGTCTGACAACACCCTCGACCCCTGAGTCTATTAGAGATGACCGACAGACACTGACTGGCAACATCGACAACCAATCCTTCCTGCACCCAGAAATCCAAACACCAGTCAAAGAGCAACCTTGTCCAGGAAGCCTGCATCAGCAACCACAATCCCGGCCGGCAACAACTTTACCATATCAAGACAGCACTACAACACAACAGATTCAAGGCTCATCCAGTCAAGACGCAAGATCCAAAGTCTTTCACCTACCAAAGGGTCCCCTACACCCAAGGTCGAACCCACAAGGCTCACCCCGCCTATTACACAGCCCAACACAGGCAGTTCTCATCACATCCAGTACTTCCTAAATGACAAAGGTATCCGGGCTTTCCACACCCACAAGATCCACAATAGCCCACAGGACAAGCAAGCCACCAAGACCGAACCTGATGCATCCCCTGCGAATGCAGAAGGTGTACACTGGGTACACCAGCAAGAGAACTCAACGCCAGACAGCACAAACACAGAGCACATGGCAGATGGGGAGAATTACAGGAAATCAGTGAACACCCAGCACTCACCAAAAGGAACACCATCATCATGAGTATCAAGCAACTACATCCATGCTCTGTCCGTCTAGCAATGAAGGTCAGCAAACAGACGATAGCTCTGCAAAACTTCAGCATCACCATCAGAGACATATGTTACCCTCTACATGTACGTAGTAGCTCAAACATCCACAGACCTCCAATTGCCTTCCTCCTCCAATTTCTTAGACCTCCTCCTCCAATGTCTTCTAAGGATGTGACGTTTCATTTTGTAAATGTTTAGCAAACATTTAAAGAACCATCTCAATGTTGAGCCCTTTCACAAAGACTGACGACTGCCCATTGTGCAGACCAACATGATCGACACAATAAATAATAAATGAGTAACATAATAAAAAGAGGGCTGTCATTGAAATCAATAAAAAGATGAGCACGTAGACTGAAAGTAATCTAGTACTGCAGTTCTCCTTAGCTTTCAGCAAATTGAATAGGTTTGAAAACATTGCTAATTATTTTTTGCTATGCATGCTCAACTCAAAGGAAGATAGTGGAAAATAGGTTCCTGTTTTTAAAATTTGAATTTTGTTGAAAGTTTTGGAAAAATAAGATTTTGAATTTTGTTTATTGTTTTAAATGTTTAAATGTGTAAATGTCACATCCATAATTTCCTCACTCCACCAATACATAGTTCCCCTTTTGCCTGTGGATTTCAGTTTAATGTTGACACTCAGCCTGCAGAGGATAAAATTACTTGTTGATATAAGATTTTATATATTTATTGAATTTGTTAAAAGCACAATTAAACTTATGTGCACAGTTTAACTGGCTACATGTATATTAAATTTATAATACATCTTTTGTCAAAGTGGATTTTTGTTAATTTTCACTTACTGCTTCTAATTGTTTCAGCTTCTTTTCAAAACATTCAATGTACCCACTGACACCCTATAGTGAACATAATTAAACAGAACAACTGCCAATGCATCAACCTTACGCTAGAATCATTCGTGGGTTTATCTCCATCCTAAATGCTGGAGATGTTTATCATGAATTTCTTCCGGCATGTACACTCCCAGCAAGTTCTTATTAAAAAGGGGCCTATGGGTCATTCTTTAATATCAAGTGTCTACTTTCATGTCCCGACACTTTAAGGCACTATAAATCAAAAAAAATATAGAATGAAAATTAGATTTTTAAGCAGTAAAATTACTTAAACACGACTCCTATTATGTGCAGTGTTAAGAACTCCTTAAAATAATGGACAAAATGATCATTCTTGACAATACTCCCTCAAAACCCACTCAAAGTGCATGTCCCAGTGTATTTCTCAATATGTACCTACTGCCATAATTTGTAAAGTAAACAACTTGCAAAGGTAATTATACCTCCAAAAGCCAAGTAATATAATAATCGTCATTTCCGTTACAAAAGGTGTGACGGATATGACTTTTGCATTTTTTTCACAATCAATATTTCTTTGGGCCCTATTGAAAATAAAGGAACCCAGCATTATTTCCTGTAAACCCAACTTCACATCACCACTCCAATACCATAGAGACTAAAATAACAGAGAGAGATATGTTGCAAGGATGAATGAAGTCCCTGAAAGCCATCAGCCCTGTTTTTGTATGGTACATGATAATTGTCAATTATCAGATTGATCTTCGATCAGGTCAATTAAATATGTTGAACACTTTCAAGTGCTTCAACATGGGGGGGGGGGGGAATGCACATATTATGACATACGTGAGTAACCACTACCAGCTTGTCACTTCCTTAACATGCTCAACATCCAACATGTTTATTACGATTATGTGAAAATTTTAGATCTGCGGTTTATGCAAAAGATTGGGGCGATTGCAAACCCCGCGCTTTGAAAATGGACATCGCCATGATCGCAACCTTAGTAATGGTATACGATTCTTTCCCTGCTAAATACTCACGACCGGACCAAGAACTTCTTGCAGTTTTTCAGGTTTTAAGAAAATCGAGTTGACGACGGACACACTGAAACCACCTCACAAGTAGAGATGCAACACATACCACGACAACGAATCTGGAGAAAGTTGCATGACCCAACATGGCAACAACATCATAGGGCAAGGGACACACCAACTTTTGCGAGACGGGCATTGTTACATTTTCGTGCAGCGCACGCAGACAACAAACCACCACGTGTGTATTTATCCATTCATTTTGCACCTGTCAGTGTCACAAAACACCACCACCTGTGCGCGCCATCACGTGGGCGTACGTCATACCAAGGGCATACCTTGGGATATTTTATAAACATTGGTTTCGTTTGAAACGCAGCTTTCACTTCCCCTGCGATGTTATTTTGTCAATTTTTGTATAAACTGGTAACGGTCTTTGTTCTGCATTGAAAACATCGATTGTCAACAGTTCTAATGTTACAGTTGTTATGCTTGCATTAGACTGTTTAATTAGTTGTTGAAATGATTACGTAGACAGTCATGACTCTAAGCCGAAGCTAGTCCGAAATTTCAGAAACGCCACTCTCAAAAGATTTTTTTAGAGGGCGCTGTACCGGCGGCAGATCCGAGTATCAAGATGGCGTCCCTTGTCACCGATGTTCTGCTCGCAAACACGGGTAAAACTCAGCTGTTTTCCAATAAAACTAACCTTTCAGACAAAGGTTCTCTCAATACAGTTCCAGGGATTATTGTAGGAAAAATAAAAACTTAGTGCATTTAATTCCTATGTAGGCCGAGTATTTGAAACGCTTTTTGGTTGGTAAATATTCGATCATTATTGTTGCATCGGTTGCGTGATAAAACGTATGACTATGTGAACGGGTGTCGGTCACTTCGCCCGGTAATCCTTAGTATTAGGACCCTGTTCCTACGTAAGAAGGGAAAGACTTACCAAAACAGTTGACTAAATCATGACACTCAAAATTGACATTCTGATATTTCTTGACCCATTTGAACAATTGGCAATGACCAATGACGTCATTAGCCCCATAAATGTGACACTACAGTAAATACTGGACAAGGCCATGAAGGCCTACCTCCGTCACGTATGTTTCAGCCCCATAGACCGTGCGTGCATTTAGTTCATCTTCTCACGCATGCGCAATGGTTTTCTCCGCATCGTCGGCTTGCAAACAGCGGTAGCAGACGACGCACTGAGCGATTGTCTGTTTTTCATGTCTTTAAATGTATCCTTCTCAAACGTACTTAAAAGATGATTCAAACCAAAAATTATCAGTAGACCAAGTGAACAAAGATATAAATTGTCTCTACAGTGTGGTAACGGCGCTAAAAACCTTTTCAAATATATAAAAAAAAAAACTAATGATGGACAAAAAACGTACAAAATGAAGAGGAAAATCATCGTTTGCTTTTGAGTTTGGTTTACACATTTGGACAATTTGCTGGGTTTACCTAGATCAGCCATAGTACCATCGAAAAGGATGATAGATTATTTTCATTTTACAGGTGATTTGATGTAAGAAGGAAACCTGTACTGTAGCTTATAAAAATCGTCATTTTTCGAGTAAACCCATTTTAAAGCTTCGTGCACAAATACACTGGTCCCAGTGCCCTCTATGATCGTACTTAACTGCATTTCTGGGCCGGGAACCAGTCAGTTGTAAATCGTTTCAGTTAAATGCATACATTTCCAACGCGTCGAAAGATTACAAACGGAGCGACGTGGCGCGTGGCTAGCCATGTTAACGGGCCAAATTCCAGGGTCTGTGTACAGGTACGTGCACACTTACGTTACATTCAATGAAAAATAACGTATAACGTGAGACCTCTCTCATTAAAACAGTTTCCGACTTAAATGATATTTATACATCGCACTTTCCGTGGCATCCTTTACCATTTTTCAGTGAAGACAAGTTTACAATTACTCGGCAAAACTGAAAAATTATCCCCTAAACTGTCGCCTGTTTTGAATTTGTGACCCAATACTTTCCTACTACACGACACGGAAAAACAAAAAAATTGCAACAAAAACTCTCTGTTTTTTAGCGCTAAGGTTTGCAAAAGTGACTTTGATTGCCTTAAATTCCTGTCCACGTGGAAAGAAAAATTTATCAAAGTACTTCGAGTGTGATGTTGACCGATACTTCAGTGGTTCAAACTGTGACTGCAGGCATCCATGTTTGCTGATTATCAGTATTTCATATTTTGAGTGCGCATACGCGCAAACTAAATGAGCGGCTGAAACATACGTGCCGTATTAACCGTCACAAGTCCACAAGCTTATTGATTGGGTTTTTATATCCCAGAGTTTAAAAGTGCTACAGACAAAACTTCATTCGAAAATTGGGTTTTGGTGTTTTTTACTCACCCAATATTTTGTAATTCTTTGCCCAGATCTGTTGGAAAAGGAAGACCTGGGGACGCGCATCGGCAAATTATCAACTCACATTGATGAGATCAAGGGTGAAATCTACCATGCCGTACACGAGAAGTATGCCAACTACAGACCCACCAGGGACTCCACCCAGGAGCTACACAACAAGGTGCAGACACTGTCCACTGAGATGCAGACTCTCAGCAATAAGATCAAGGTATGTCATAGTCTTAAGGCTCCAGTAACACATTCACGGTTGGACATACGAATATCCAAGGTTTACCAAGAATCAATTGATCACAATGAACCGTCAAGACTCGTGGAGAAATTGACTTTCTAAGAATGCACTAGGGTTTCAGGACAGATAGCTGTCGGAGGTTTCTCTACGAATACACCACAGTTTCTTGAACGGATTGTTTATGAATATTGACAGTATTACCAAGAATAATGATATTAATGCCACAGTTGTCTGCGATTGGGCCACGAATGACCAAGGTTCTCCTACAAATAAAGCATAGTCATATTCGTAGTACAACCTTTGCAGAATTCTAGCATATCTGGGCATAACCGTAGGACATTTGTGGTGAATTCGTAGAGATTTCCGCCACGAATGAGCTACAAATCTCCAAGAGTATGTACAAATAGCTACAAATAACACTATGAATTAGTACAGTTGTTCTATGGATGTCCCAGGGTTTCACTGCGCATTGATTTTCATGACGATTCTCCACGGACGTTTGGAACAGTTTAAAAGTTCCGTAGCCCCTCCATGAATACCAAAGGAAGATGAGGGATAACCACGCAGATATTTAGGATGAATACAGTACTCCCACGGTTATCACAATTCTAAACTGTGGATAGCTGTAGCTGCAAACAGTGAATGTATGACTGAGGCTTAAGGGCTAGACATTGTTATGGTTTGATATGCAATAACCTGCTGCAGTGATAAACCCACACCCACTGACTAACCAATATCACCCACGAACCCGTCGGAACAACGTATAGGCCAATTCGTACTGGTTGTGTAATGTGCGCGCACCTTTGGCGTAATATATGCAGCGCGCATTAAAAAAAAATTCATAGTAGTTCCCAAGAAAACTTTCAAATGTCTTCAAGTAACGTAAAAGATGCAGCAAGATGTTTTTGCAACTTCACTGGTCAGCACTTTTGTTGTGTGTAGTTTGTGTGGGACTGAAAATGAACAGTAATTGCCTGCGGAAGTAGCGCATGCTCACTTCCCCCATTTTTGTTTTTGGGGGGGGGGGAGAGAGATTTTAGGAGTTGGCCTAGACGTTCCGATGGTGGGGGATATTGGTTGGTTTTGATAGCGACCTCTTGCGACCTCTTGCGACGGCGGGTTATCGCTGCAGCAGATAATCGCGTATCTGACCATAACATCGTCTAGCCCCTAGACTAGGTATGTGAGGCCGTGTCTGATGAGACAGGCATTGTTGTCTGTGGCAATAGCTTTTGACTTAATGCACCGTTGGTAAAAACCTAGCCTATTCTATGGCCATGCACTGGAGTAAACTCCTTGCTAAGGGCCATACAAAAATGAGCACAAAAAATGGTAAAATAATGTGTTTTTTCATGGAAATATTTCGGCCTGATACTTGGCGTGGGGGTTCTTTTACCCAAGAATCCCTTTTTTCACTAAAACTGGGACTTTTTTGGTTCCTTCATGTGAAATTTGTCTCTTTATTTGCTTACAGAAGTTGAAGAAATGCACAAAATTTGACAAATACAAATTAAGAGGGCTAAATTAAGAAAACGTTTTTACCAAAAGAAACCATTGGAAAGTCCTCAGTTTGGAAAAAAAAAAGCGGGACGCTTCACAGACTTTGTGTGTGTGTACAAAAAGCAAAAGGGATTAACGTGTTTAGACGTCACCCGAAGGCAAGTTGTGGCAATTTTGACATCTTAATCTATCAGCCCTGCCTGTGTATAAAACAGCCAGTGCATCTTATCACGTCCTCCGACGCGAGCTGGTTAAGATGTTACTTGTTATTGTCAAAAGAAGTCAATTTGGTATCTTTATTTTTTTGTTGGTATGAATTCAGGGAGACATCAGTTCCCAGCTCAACAGCTCCACCAGTGATCTTCATGACCTCACCAGACAGTTGGAGAAGACTAACGCTATCATTGATGTGCTACAGTCACTATGCAAGGTAATGATCAACTCCGTATGGCAAGACAGGTGATTGTGTTCTTGAGCAAGACACTTTACCGCAGTTGTCTCTCTCCAGGTGTACGAATGGTTACCTGTGATTGTTGAGACCATATGTAATGCGATCAAGCTAAATGAGTCGTTTGTCGGGAACTTTCATTTGGAGATACAGGCCAAAATAGGGCCACTTCATCACATCACTTCATCACCTCTCTTGGTGTTCCGACTTCCATAATTTTTGAACTAAATGTGGTACCAGCATGCGGTTTTCACAGCAGTAATGCTGAGATTGTGCTCTTTTCAAATCTGTAAAAAATATCATTTATTTTGCTCTATATTTAGTGAGGCACCATTTGCAGACGGTGTTGTAATTTTGTAATTGTGCATCTGGAAGCCAGACTGAGGGAGCAAAGGCCGTGTATCTGAGACCTGTAAACGCTTTTTAATCTAGCGCAATGTGTAAGGGACCAGACTGATGACCAGCCTGCCAGCTCAATGCCAATGTCGCTGTATGGTCTGATGTTACCATTTTCTCTGATCCAAATTTCCCAAATAATGTTCGTGTCGGTCGAGATCGTAAGTGGTTGCAGAATTCTGAAGCCTTGTGGTCTTAACATAGGTCACCTCAAGCTCCACTCTGAAAGACATTGTTGAGAGTTTAAAGGGGATCGCAGCATCATCATTTAAGAAAAAAAATGTTGGGAGGGAAAAAAAATGTGTCGCCGCACCACTTTTGGGGCAAGCTCCATATCAGAAACCGGAGCCTTTCTTTTGGCCTTAGGTTGCAGAAGTCATTTGGAAATGACCAAAATACTCTTGACTCTAAGGCCCGTTCTGGACGCCTTTCTACTTCGGCATCGAACTTTATTAAAATGATTGCAGCACTAGCTCGTCTACAGCACGGCAGTAACTCTAAATGCCAAACCTAATAGTTGAACCTGAATGAACCTGGAGTAACTGGCCAGGTTCAAGCAGTTCAATGAACATTCAAACTGTTTGCGCCAATTTCACCCAATGTGATGCGGACACGAGAGAGGGTATCGTGCGCATGCGCATTCCTAAAATGCTTTCCCCAACTTACAATTGAATTGAGGTCTGCACGGCAATGGCTCGGCATTTAGAACAGTGCCGTGCAGCTGCCACACGGAATGACATTAGTGCATCAGCCCTATTGAGCCAAAGGATGGTGCTGTGCCGAAGTCAATTTGCCGAGCCAAATGGTTCTAAATGCCATGCTATAGCCGTGTCGAATTTAAAGAAGTCAAATTACTTGAGTTCAGCACGGCAATAGCACTGTGTCTACAACGGGCCTCACTTGACCTAAACACAACACAATCGCCGTTAAAAGCACCTTTTTATCCTGCGATTCCATGGTGTAGACTCAATTTAGAGGATGAAATTATGGTCAGACGTAAAAAAAACATTATTAACAAGTCCGTTTGTTCATCTTAATTTCATTCACCCTCCTCATTTCAAGAAACCATGCTTTTCTGACAATTAATGATTTGTCCGACCGTTTTATTTGACAGGTTAACAGTTTACTGACAGACTTTCAAAGCTTCGTCCAGAACGGTGAGTTCCTGCAAGCAGCCGATGCCGTCAATGAATTGGTGAGAGACAAATAAAAATAACTGTCCAATCAAATTAAGATGAGACTTGGTTGCTATTTTCCAAATTCAGTTTGTTTGAAAAGGAATGCAAAGTTCTTTTCTGTAAGAAGTTTACTTTGAAATTACAAATTTCAGGTTGTTGTTGTAATTGTTGAATCCACTGTAATCATGTTGTACTTTGCATATGTACAGTGGAATCTTGACAAGTCAAACTCCGATAACTCAAAACAACTTTTAAGTCAAACAAAGAGCCCATCGCCTACCGTAGTATAACAATGGTATACAACCCTGCTTAACTCAAAATTCTGCTCAAGTCAAATTTTGAACCTGTTCCCTTGAGGTTTGACTTATCGAGATTTCACTGGAGTTCAATTCTTTGTTTCCTGCAGAAATCTGATTTGGACGTTCTCATTGAAGACGGATACTGTGAGCTGAAAATTGTCAAGGCTCTAAGGGTAAGGAGCTTATCCGTTGTCTGTTTACTTGCAGCAGGCCAGTGAGGATGCAGAAAGTGAATTGACCTATCTTGTTAGAATGGCATTAACATCGCGTCAACACTGCTTGTGAAATATTGTCCAATTACAGATATACGAATAGACAGGGAATGCGCAAAATCTGAGACAAACAAAACGTAGTGTACAAATATTCCATAGGGTTGTCTAAAGGGGCGTGGCTAACTCGCAAACGGCGATAGGTCAGTTGGGATGACGTTGTTGAATTTTGCCAGCCAGAGAGAGACATTGCTGATAAGAGTTTTTTTCACCGTTTTAGTCTGAGCTGCGCGTGAACCAAGAGACGCTGCTGCATCATCTAGGAGAGGCCTGGTCTGCCATGACTGTCTGGACCATACCCCATGCCAAAGAACCTGTCACCCTGACCAACGTCAGCCAAGTCCAACTCAAAGTGGGTAGGTCATTAAGACGTGGGACGCTATTGCATGTGGGCTGGAGTGTCATTATCAGGATCTGCGGGTAATTCTGCAGGTTATGGGTTCAAGTCCAGCCTGTGGCTGTGGTGTGTGTGTTGTGCACGTGACATTTTGACACTCATTGCTTCTCCCTACCCAGAAGTAAATTTTGTTATTTTTTTTTTTCACCAGTTAACATTGAAAATGCTGCGGTGACTGTCAATGCCATGAAGCAGGTTGGAATTCTGAAGAGCAAAATGCAAGTTTTCGGTGAGTTTCTTGAATGTTTGTCCTCTCTTTGTGACTGTTTTCCAAAACCAAGCTTTGATAAACCAAAAAAACATTGGCAGAACGAATTTGAATTTTGAATTCACATTTCAAACAGACTTTGCTCATTGTATCTTTTCAGTCCTTTGAAAATGTCAGCTGCAAACGACTTATTTCAACAAAATTATTGTCAATTTTCCATTTTCAGGAAAGAAACTGATGGACTATATTCTGAAGCCAGTTGTGATGTTGTCAAATGTTGCGCCATCAATTAACGCAACTAAAAAGGTAATGTTATTTTCAATTAAGTCTTAAGTTACAGGTGCATTTTTAAATTTGTTTTTCATAAGAACAAGAAGACATGAATATTATACAAATTAACAAGTTTATAAGCATACAGAGTTTATAGGCACAGAAAATCAGCTCTTTACGCTGTTGGGTGTGGGTTTCTCAGTCGGGTTTTGCCAGCAGTTACGTGGAGTGCTGTGGCCTCGTGGTTAAGGGCATTGGATTCGTGGTCTGCGGGTAAAGCTGCAGGTTGTGAGTTGGAGTCCAGCCTGGGGTCATGGTGCGTGTGCCCTTGGGCAAGGCACTTTGTCACTCATTGCTTCTCCCCACCCAGGAGTAAATGGGTACCTGTGAGGGCAGAGATGGTTACTGTGATTGAGTTAGCTTCCTCTGCTTAACAGGCTGCATCGAGCTGTATACTCCCCAGGGAGCTGAGATGATATTTGGAATGTTTTGTTGGCCAAATGAGCAGGGGTAATAATGATGTAGCACCTTGAGCACCAGACCTGGTGGATCAGGCGCTTTATAAATGCCACTATTATTATTATTAACATTATTGGAAAATTGTGCCAACTTAGTAAACAACGCCGCCTCCTGGCATAGATGTGCTGATGCTTCCTATTGTTGCATCACAATTTAAGCAAATCCTGTCGCATGAATTGTAAGTTCCTTGCTGCACTGACTGCTTATGATCTCCCTGTAATGGACACATCCCCTATTAGCAGAGAATAACGTGTTAAGCACTAAGACAAATTCCATAGAGCTGCTATTAAGCAGAAAACATTGCTTACTAATTTTTCGGTTACTAAATTTGTATACAACTTGCAGAATTACTGGCAGACCACGAATTCAATGCTCCAGTTCACAAGGCCACGGCACTCCTAAGCAAAAGTTGTTTTGTGCATTTAGTGAATGAATGTGCTAACATCTTCTTTGCAGTCGCAGTCAACCACCGTTGGATTCAAGGTGCTACCCAAGAGCTCTGAGGAGGCGTCTGATCCCGTAGCTGTGTACAAGAGCACACTGGCAATACTGAAAGCACTGAGTGGGCCGTTACTTAGCCTCAAGACAGAGGGTAAAAACGGAGATGAGAACACAACGCTGATGGCTATGCTAGGTAGGGACCATCTCATTGTTTTTGTTAAGATTTTTTTCTCCTTTTTTTTGTCTTTCCTTTCCGCATTTTGTCCATATGTTTTGTATACATTTTCATTCTTCAAGCCACTTTGGGAACTTTAATCAACTTTATTGTTTGTCTGTTGGGGTGTTTGTTTGTTTGTTTGTTTGTTTTCCATTCATACATGTACATACATAAGCAACAGTTTACATAGTGTAATATATATAAATGTAGTTAAATAAATGTAGTTAAATAATAAGCTTTCTAATAAGGTCTTTCATGGTAATATACACCATCTTGTTCATGTAATATACGCCATCTTGTTTCATGGTAATATACACCATCTTGTTTCATAGCAATATACGCCATCTTGTTCACGGGGCAAAAAGAACACACGTTGCTAGACGCGGGCGCATTTTGGAATGACCGCATGATGACTTGGAAGTGCCAACGTTTTCTATCAACAATGCGTACACATTCAAACAATTTTACATGGAGGCAGTTGGAGGATTTTGCAGGATTGGGGCAGCAGTCACCCCTCCAAGGACCACATTCAAGAAATAACGAAGGATTTCGCAGGATTGAGGCTGTGTGCAATTTGTACATGGAGGCAGTTGGAGGATTTTGCAGGATAGAGGTTGCATCCCAGCAAAAATGCCTAGGGAGTTAATAATTGTGCTGCTTCATTTTGTCCCTCTGACGCATAAATTAGGTTTGTAACCAAATGTTTCTTTGACCTTTACAGGAGAATACGTCTGGCCAGAGCTGTCCAAGTGTATCATCACACATTGTCTGGTGCACTCGATACCCACAAGCAGCTCAAAGGTAGCCACACAGCATTACTTTCTTGAACCATTCTTCAGGGTTTATCTTGAAAAAAAAATATGGCATTGCTTATTTAAGGATTTGTTATCTGTATTGTCATCTTTGAATAAGTGTTGGGTTTTTTGCTGAATTTTTTTTTGAAATTTTTTTTTTAAAATCTTTAATACTTAAACCTTAAAAACCAAATTGTGAGGTTTTCAATAATGAAATAGACCTTAGTCATAAGGACGTCACACTTTGTTTACATGTGCGCTTTCCTATGGGAGCCAGGTGTCTTAGATCTATTCAGACATGCAAGTTTTCCTCGGATCCGCTGATTTCCTCCTTTTTTTGACTTCTCATGAATGCCATGTTACTAATTGAAAAGTACAGTACACAATCTTGGTTTGGAAATTCCTGGTTTTTCTTAATTCTCAGTTGCATGCCTGTCTATTCAATCAAAAACAAAAATGCTATTCAGATATTCGGTTGATGTTTGCATATTGAAATATTTGGTATATTGGACACAGCCCTAGAATAATGAATGATAAAAAAAGATATTTTTCTGATTGCATCGTATTCACCATTTCAGCTCAATGAGTACAAAGCTGTCATCACGGCTACCGAGGGATTTGAAGCTTCTCTCCGGAAAACAGGTCAGTTAGCAGTTTAAACAACAAACCAAAACAAATAATCATGCGAAAGAAATATAATAAAATACTGCCTTGAAACTTACAATTATAAATAATGTCAGAGATCTTTCTGTTTCAGGGTTTATTGCAGAAACTGCTTCTCCCCTGCTGACCTACGCCAGAGATGTCAATGTCCACTTTGCTAACAAAAAGGTGAATTTTTTTTTAATGTTAGTTACTTCTAAATATGTTGTGGGAACATTTCTTGAATGGCATCATTCAGTTTGTTTGATCCCATCTGGAACTTTGTATGTGACCTTCCAGCACTTAGCCGTGTTCTGAGATACAGCCTATAATACATAGAATAGTGATGAAAATTGGGAACCCAAAAAGCTGTAACTCCATCAGATTTTGTCGGATTCCAAAATTCTATACATCATTGGAAAGCGTATGTTCAATGTCCTTTCCAATGAACACAACGTCCTGGTTTTCAACAATTGGCTCAAGTGACCCTGGTTTTGTGCTGGAGACTTTTTGTGACTGGGCTTGTGATTGACTTGTGACTGGACTTGTGACTGAGCTTGTGATTTACTTGTGACTGGACTTGTGACTGGACTTGTGATGGACTTGTGACTGGACTTGTGACTGGACTTGTGATTTTACTTGTGACTGGGTTTGTGATTGACCTGTGACTGGACTTGTGACTGGACTTGTGATGGATTGGATTACATCCCTTACATTTTTTATGTTCTGTTTATTTTCTTTTTGGAAAGTGTCAAGAGCTGATAGTTGAAGCCCGCAAGCTGATGAAGAGAGAGCTGCACAATACAAAGAGAGTCGGTACAATGAAGGTTGACAACAAGGACGTCAAAGATCAAAAACAAGATACCAAGGTTCGATTTTTTTTTTTAATTTTTCAAAAGTGGATTTGATTTTGTCTTTTTTATCTTCCTTCAAGAAGTTCTTGCAATTTGAAAACATTAACCCCAACCCTCCTCAGTCCTCCTCAATCCTCCAGGCAGTTTAAAAGGATAAAGCTGAATGGCAAAAAGGGCTTGATTTTGGAGGATGCATTATGTCGAGTTTGTAGGCTGTGCCCAGCGGTGTGTATGTTCAGCCATGTATAATTGAGCCCTGCATTATGCTGGATATCATCCGCACTGCTTCTAAATGTCATCAGCACTGCCTCAACCCATTAACAGTGATTGTTGGAGGATTCTGAAGGATTGAGGCAATGGTCACTCCTCCACTGCAGTAATTCAAGACATAATGAATGATTTTGGAAGATTGAGGCCAAATCAAATTTTCACATGGTGGCAATTGGAGGATGTTGCAGGATTGAGAATGGTTCCTAGCCAAAAGGGCCTAGGGGGTTAGGGTTAATTGAAATGTTTATTCTTGATTTACGTTGAATGAGCTTATCGTATTGAAAATATATTTCATATGAAACCATTTAATATGTAATTTCATTGAGGACACTTGCAGTGTAAACTGAACAACTTAAGTGCAAAGTAACAAAAAAACTTGAGAAAAACTTAAGGTATTCGACAGTCCGCTCTGAGAAACACTTTGATTAAAGTTGACACTGCATTAAGGGAGCATGCTTTCGAGACGATATTTTGACAAAAGGTAAAATTTGATATTCTTGCTCTTCTTTGTCTTCTTTCAGGACAAGTGCCACGTGAGCGAGGGTATCTTTGCACTGCCTGAGTGTGCAGTCAGTGAAAGCATAGAGTGTCTTGTTAATCTAGCCTACCAGACATTACAAGAAGCTGCTAGTAATACACCACAGTGGTGAGTAGGAAAATGTGTCCATCTGGCTTTACGTGTTCTAGAAGGCTTCAATAATAAATAAATGTGGGGAGCTAATCATCCTTACTCGCAGAAGAAGCTGAATTGGTAGGAAGCAGCTACAACGTGGTCGAGCCAAAGGCATGTTATGTACAAGGGCCTCAAGCAGCCGTCGTATGACCCTCGTGGCACAGGAGAGAATTAATGAACAACTCTACTCACATATTACCCGAGCCGGGAATCGAACCCAGCACACAGCGGTGAGAGGCGAGCGCTTTACGTACTGTGCCACCCATACCAACTGCCTGATCTGATGTGTTTATGCTTTCTCACCATAGTAAAGTAAAGTCTGTCGTGAGCCAATATGGCCCATCGGGCCAGCGTTTATTTATGGTTTCCTTGGCATGAAACGACTGGGAATATTTCTGTTTCCCACTGGATGGGATGCTAGTTCATCGCAGGTTACTCCCCAGCTAATGCCGGTACCCATTTATACTCCTGGGTAGAGAGAGGCAAGTGAGGGTGAAGTGGCTTGCCCAAGGACACAACATATGGCGAGCGGCTGGATTGGAACCTTTAACCCTCTGATCATGAGTCCCGAATCCAAACCACTTGGCTGCACTTGTCCCGAATCGTGTGAAAAAGCAAACCTGCCTTTTGTTGAGGCAAATTAAATTGCGTTGAACATTTTATAGGTCAGTGAACACAATACATTCAACATTAACCCACGTAGTGTAAAGCATTTTTGCTAATGTCTTATTTTTATGTTTGCAGTGCCATCCAGCTGTTCTACACAGTGCGAAACATGTTTGAGATATTTTGTGATGTCGTACCCACATACCACAGAGATAGTCTGGTGAGTCAACTTCTAGACTTTTTCAAACAGTCATTTGGTACTTCTGAATTTCACTGTCGTCTGCTTGTTGAGCCAAAAAAAAAAAATGCACAGAAAGCAAATGTTCTCATGTACCTTTAACTGGCATGCAACTGGGAATTTTGAAAAAACGAGGAAATTCCAAACCACACATGACTTTGCACAGTGTTTTTCAATTTGTAATGGTATTCATGAGAAGTAAAAAACAAGGAAATCAGTGGATGCAAGGAAAAATTGCATGCCTGCTTTAACCAGTTTGCGCCAGAGGCCGTGTATACACGTAAAGGTTTTGGGTACTCCGAACCGATGACAGATACACACGCAGGGAGAGAGGCCAGAAATATCTGTCAGCGGCCCACTCACAGCGAGCGAGGCCGGAAATATGAGTGTGCTGCCCGACGGTGATGGCTTCAACCCGCCTGGCTTGAAGTTGAGTGAAAATATATCCCGCACCTCGTTCCATTCTTGTCAAAATAATCCCAGCATTAACTGGTTAAAGCAAGGATAAAACAACAAAACAAGGTAATGTTGATATTGTCTTAAAATTTCTTTACAGAAATCTTGACTTTTTATAATTATTTTTGCTTGTTTTTCTTGTGAAACAGCAAAAGCTACCCCAGGTGTGCGCTCTTCACCACAACAACTGCATGTACATCGCCCATCACCTGCTGACGCTAGGCCATCAGTATCGTCAATCCTTACCCCCGCCCCTCTGTGACGGCACATCCACATTTGTCGACCTCATCCCTGTCTTCAGGAAGCTGGCATCCGAATGTTTCTTGGCTCAAATGGTAAAAAAACAGCAGCCTTTGTTTTTGTCATTTGTACCGAGTCAACACAGCCTCGGGTCAACACAGCCTCGATGTGTCGGGTTTCTACTGTACCTCCTGATATTTCAGTGGGACTAACCTTTAGCACTGAATTGATTTTATTGGTCTAGAACTTTTATCCAGTTGTTAACACTAGCCCTGTCAGATGCAACACAGTGCATCAGGTGCAAACATTTGTGGGACCTTGCTGCACTGAGCCACCAACACCAGTGCATAAATGGCCAATTCTGAAACATTGAGAGTTAGTCCCATTGAACAATGCCACAGTGGTATCCTGCTGCAGTTGGTGACCACAGACTCTGAGGCAGTTTAGCCTTGAGATTGCCAATCTGATGGATCTTGCTACACTGAGCAGGCTTGTAGACAAGTGTTGCATGTTGCTGCATTTAGCAGGGTTTCTAGCCTGAATACCCTGGAGGGTTAGGGTTAAGGCCAGTGTATCCTTCTTGGATACGCCAGTCCTAAGTTTTGACATCACAGCAGGTATTCATCCCACAGATTACAAAAGTTGCAACACATTTCAACCGCAGCAAATTTCACTTTCAATGTTAACTGATGTCAAATGGGCCTTGCATTCATATTCAAGTAAAATAACCTGCCATATCCTGTATTTGCATTACTGCTTTTAATGTTGCAGAGAATTCAGCGAGATCAATTAGTGGAGAGTCTGTCTGGTGCTGAGGGCTTTGACCAAGTAGCGACTGACGACAACTTCTTGGCGTGTGAGAGGGCCATTAAACAAGTAGGTTCGGCAACAATCCAGAATTTTAGGCCAAGTGAAAAATAAACCAGTTTCTTGCCACGGCCTGCTTCCTTTTTTCCTGCTTGCTTCCTTTGTTGTGTTTTTTTTATTCGTACATTTACAAAATAATTTACAAATGAATTGTCAATGTATTTGTTTTTAATGAAATTGTACCTTTGTAGCAGGGGTTACAGCTCCTTCAGACACAATTTTGTATCAGCAAAAGAGTCAAGAAAATGGATCAATCAATTCATCATCTTGGAAAATCCACCATCTTGGGGGGGGGGAAGGGGGGGGGGGAAGTGCCCACCTCCTTAATTTTTTTCAAAAGGCTCGGACGATAAACTATTTCTGGGTTTTTTTACTTGGCCTTATCTAGGACTTGGATTTCCGCATAAGAATATTCAAATATTCAATTTTGTTGATAAAAATGAAGTCAAAGTAAAGTTTCACCTCTGCCTTTTTGGCTAGGAATCTTCCCAAATCCTTTAAAGAAATCCTCCATTGTGCATTTCTGAAAATTAAAGCAAAAGCAATGTTGTATATTAAGCCTTAACAGGCAGGACTGTCTTCAGACTTTTTTTCTGAAATCAGACCTTTTGAATCTGAGAGAAAGACATCACCAGTCTTGAAAGGAATGCATCTTTCAGACCTAATATCCATTTTTCAGACCTTTTCTTTTTGAATTGGCAATCTCATCCCTGTCTTTATCCCAATGCAGGTTGTCCATCAGTTGGGTCACCTCCAGCGAGTCTGGACCGACATCCTCCCCAGTAACATCTACACCAAGGCCATGTCTACACTCATCAACACGGTACTCATGCACATCGTGGAGAAAGTCTCGTCACTAGAGGTGAGAAGATCCTTAACATTTATTTGACTGTTTCATGCATGTATGGTGCAAGAACACACAACTGATTGAATTCTGTACAAACATCTAGCGTCTTGGCATGGCATCAGGCGCCATCGGTAGTTCATTAGACTGTCCCTCCCAGTGGTCTAACTGAATCCTCCTTTTGTAACTGTGGAGCTGGTACTTGTGTAAGGAGTCTATGGGCTGCCTCAAATTCCTGACTCGCATGTTTTTAAGGACTATGTCAATTTTTAAGCTGTAGCAGGAACTTCTACATGTCACTTCGGTCGGTTGGTCTGTCGGTCTGTCTGTCTGTCTGTTGCCAAAAATTGACCAAAAATATTTAACCAAAAATCGACCAAATGCCATGCTGTCGTCAGTAAATGCACTCTTGACAAAAGTTATCAGAAAACGAGGTTAGTCTCCATCGATGTGCATGCGCGCCTGTTTTGCATATACGTCTGTCCCCGGAAAATTGACAAAAAATGAGCCCCCTAAGTTTCCCATAAAATTTAACTACCATACCAAATTTTAATTTATAGAAAAATACACACAAACAAAAACAATGAAATACTTAACAAAAAACTGTTCGTAACAATTTGTAAAGTTGACAATTGTGTAAATGGAGGCAAGCAAGATAATGTGCAGTGATGGTAGAGTCACGTGGTATATAGTGCGCAATTTTTATGGGAAATCTTATTTTGGTCAATTTTAAGCGTGTGATTTTCGCATGGGACGGCGGTCCGGGCTTGTTTGTATGCACAATCATTTCATGCGCAGCCAAAGCTTAATGTGCACTCGCACTTGTTTCGTCTGTGGTTTCCTTGTGGAATACTGCCACTAATTGGTTTTTTATAGAGAAATGTTGTTTTTTTTCTCAACTTGACAGGACATCTCAGCTGATGATGCGCAGCAGTTACATTCGTTACTGTCAGGACTGCAAGACAGAATTCCACACTTGATCAAACCGGGAGAAGTTGAGGTAAAAAAGCAATTCCTGAAACTATTTTTTTTTTTGTTGCAGAATTTGTTGATAAGACTTTAGGTGGCCCTGGAAGTGATGTTTATAATGTGTTTATTAAATGCACAGTTTGTTCTTTGTGGACACCAAGCATAACAAACTTTTTTTTTTTTTTTAACAAGCAAATTCTGTTGAATGCAAACAACACATTACCGTTGAGAGGTGCATTATTTTCATATTAAAAAATGAGTTATTGTGGTGTTTAGGTGTGTAGCAGACTACTCCATAGCTTAGAAAAGTGTATTATCTCTGTATATATTGTTGCAGAGGATGGACACGACCGATAATGCATTGCTTGAACGATACGTGATTACCATTGCAAGCTTATGCTCATTTGCTCATAAATTGCCCACAAATCCACTTTTGCAGACAACTAGCAATGAATTCCCTTCCTGTAAAGGAGGTTGACTTTTGGTTTTTGGATTGATGCGTAGGAACCAGTTTTGGTGCAGAGTACCGTTGATCAGTGGACGTCATTCAGCGAGTTGCTGTTTATGTTAGATGCCAGCATGCAAGATATTGTGGACAGGTGGGCGGAGGGCAAGGTGAGATACGACATCAATAGGATTCAAATTATAAGCAGTAAAGTTCTGCCAGGTTGAACAAAGAAATTGACTGGAGCAGGGTTTGAACCTATGACTTCAAGATTGCCATTCCAGTGCTCGATCAACTGAGCTATCCAGCGCTATGCTGGCAGTTCCCCATTGGTATTTCTAGGTTTGCAGGATTGCTAATGTTGCTAGCATCGTGGCTTTGGGTGTGATCCCTGGCTACATGGCATATGTGGGTTTACGGCTTCTGACTAGCACCCCTTGAACAAAGACGTTGACAAACCACCAACAGTGGGCTGGAAAGCTCAGTTGGTAGAGCACTGAGACGGCAATCCCGAGGTCGCAGGTTCAAACCCTGCTCCAGTCAATTTCTTTGTTCAACTTTAAAATTTAAAACATTGTTTAGGTCGGGAACTCCTGTTCTTGTCTAGTTGTTCTTTAAACATTTGAGACTGTGATTCTCTCCATCATTCCAGGGACCACTCGCCATGGTGTTCAGTGCCAGTGACGTGAAGAGCCTGATACGGGCCATCTTCCAGAACACCGACAGACGAGCCACAGCGCTCGCCAAAATCAGATAGGACCAGCCGGGAAAGCATGCAGAGTTCAAGGCATATAGGATCATTTGCATTTGCCATCATTTCATGAAATGGACCAATTGAAGGGCTACTAATTTATAGCTGACATCGTTCCTCCGAGCTGTTCAGTGTATTGTGTCCATTGGTGCTGAAAAACCACAAAAAACCTGTTCTTTTTCAACCCTCAAAGTGCAGTTTGTGGAATCTGTTGTGCATAGAACCCATAGGTCACAGGGAGTGCCCGGGTGCCGGCTCTAGATCTGTCGTGGGAAAGTAACACACACAATACCTGGCACACCTGCACAAACGTCTGTTCACCGTCGATCGTGGACGTCCTATTGTCCCTCTTTTGTTTGTACTCTAACTTTTTAGGAAGACTCCCATAGATTTTGTACACGACCCCAATCGCGGACGTATCCTGGGAAGCGTGGATGATATTGTTCTCTTTTGTTCTCTGGTATTTTTCTTCCACGGTTCGAAAAAATGAACACATACGAGCATAGGCATGAAGTCCACAGCTGACTCGCGGCTGTTTATTTCAGAGGTAGTATTTTAGGTAACTGCGTGTTCTCAACGATGGTTGGGTCCGTATGACGGGCAGAGTGTGATATGGACCATGGAATATGCGACACCACATTGTTGCCACGGATCGACCAATCAGGATCGATGATTCAAGTTTGATTGAAGACAGATATTCATATCTGCATGTCTACATGCTTTGATTTCGTACAACACAGCGGACGTTCGTCGCAGCCAAATCATCCCGTGTCAACTCACGTCCGTCCACAACCTACAGTTGTATGTACAGCATATTAAAGGGACATTACGGCCTGGAAAACGCCAAATTGGGCTACAAAACAATATTACATGGAAAGAGCATTTAAAGTAGATTATAAACATCCACACAAACATCCTTTAAAAACTGTGCGTTTTTAGGGGGTCACATTTTTGTCCCGAAAAATGAAACTGTTCATTGCTAGTTGTAATTCCAGCCGCACAGTGTTCGCCTTCTGCAGACGTGTAAGAAACAACATCTGTGCATTGGTGCTGTGTGTGATTTATGTGACACACACAACATGTAGCGTATTTTTTTGTTTGTATGAATGCATAGTTGGCACTCGGATAATTGAACACAGTGGACGATGGTAGCAAATTCTTGGATGTTATCGAGTTCAGATTGCCAACTGCCCGATTCCAACGTAACTAAATCATCTATGAATTATATTTCGATGAACGAGTTTAACTCTGGATACTATAATTTTGATAGAAATTATCTGAATTTGTAGGATTTTGAGAGGCTGGGGGAAGTAGGGGATGGGCCAGGTAAGCAGATGGGTAGGAAGGAAATCATTGTAAAATGGAAAAATATTGGGCAAGACATTACTGATGCAGAAAATAAAAAGCTCGCAACAAATTCACGCAGTGATCTTTGTTTATCAATCCATTGTATTACTTTATATATACAAATCATTAAGCATCATTTTCCGTCTTTTAAGAGCACAACGTACATTTTGTATAAATTTTATAATCCAACACACATTTCACAGATATCACAGTCGGCTACATTTGTGTAACATACTAATCTATATACTTGGGCATTTCATGCAAATGTTATCTTATGAAATAGTTTACACATGATTAAAGTCTTCCCAGATGCGATAGTACTTGCTATGGCAGTATATTAAACATATTATACATTTACCATTAAAGTAATGAAAGAATTTTGATAGAGTCTTTAGTCCCTGAGAAGTTCAATTTCTAACAATTTGTTTGCAAGATATTTTTTTTCACTCGAAGACCGAGAAATCTCATAAAAAAATTAGATAAAATATGGCAGGTATTAGTTGCTAGCGAGTCAGTATAGAGACGTGATTCTCCCATAAAAAAAGTCTTTGCTCTAAAAACAACTTCAAAGCCATTTGCGAGTGACCCATACCCTTTGGGATTTAAATTTGAAAAACATCTGGTACACTGACTTGCTCAGAATGCTTGGCACATTTTAACTTTTAATTCTCCAGACCAAAGACACCGCTGCTAATCACATGATTCGCGGCAAGCTTGTGCATAGTTGCGCAAGATGCGATCAGCACCAATACATTGTTCACAATGGGTGAGAATGGCACAAAGACACAAGACCATTCCGGAGCTGGGGGTTGCTAGCGTAAGGCTTGCCCTGAATCACGTGATATAGTAACAGTCTCTTTGGTCTGGAGAATGCAAATTTAAAACTTGCAAAGCATTGGAGAAGTCAGCGTTCCAGATTTTATTCAAATTTATCTCGCAATGCCTTATTACTAGATTTCTCAAACATTTCAAAGACTTCATACAAATTGGCACTTAAAAAGTCAGTACATGTCAACGTTTTTTTTTTACTTTTCCATTTAATGTTAAAATATAAAAGGTCGGTTTTTGTAAAGTCACTCTTTTTGGGGAAGCAGGCCTTCGATGAAAACATCCTTTAAATACATGTATAATGAAACTTCAAAAAAGGGATTTTTTTTCCCCCAAGATAAACCTTTACTCGTGAAATCTCAGTGAAATGTTGGTCAGTCTATAATACAAACTCTTCTATCCAATACACAAATAAAAATAAGCCATTTCTGGTGAAAAAAATTTCACAAAACATGTATTGCACACTGACCTTTATATTGAACATTAAATAATTCCCTGAACGATTTACCCTATTCGGCTTCTCCCACCAAAACATACAAGGTGTTAAAAAAACCAAAAAAAAAAAATCCCTCTATTAAAGCGCCTTCTTTTTCACAGCTTTTAAAAAATACATTGCAAATATCGATACATATTTGGAGAGTACAGTTCATTAGCTTTTCAACAACGAAAAAATATTTTCAATCAGTTAAAGTTTTATTGAGGTATGGCCAATTCAAAATAGGTGCCGATCTGTCCACAGTCTCAATTGCCATTTGTTAGGAATGTAATGGATTTGGGGTGAGGGTAGTTTGGCTTTCTTTAATTTTTAATCTTTCCTTGGTTCGTATTTTTTCTAACAATAGTCATTTATCCTTATGGAAGGAATGGTAGTCCAGAAATGGACTGTTTGGTTAACTTCTTAGATGTTTACTGTGCTGCTCTGTGTCTGACCTCTACTTGGTAGCCTTTTTCACGGATGCAAGTTCCGGTCCGTGTTCTTATTGCGACAGTCAAAATATCAGTCGCCGTGGACAAAATGAAAAAGCGGCGCTTGTTTTCAATTGCCCATAACTCAATAAACATTTACCCAATTGGAAGAGTTTTTCGTTGTTGAAAAGCTAATGAATTTTACTCTCTAAATATGTATCGATATTTGCGATGTTTGTCTTTTAAAGCTGTGTAAAAGAGGGCGCTTTTAAGGGTTTAGTGAGGGTTTTTTTGGACACCCTGTATTATAATATTGAGTCCTAGTTTCTCTGAGTTTTCTAATAGTTTCAGAAATTTCTCAAATAGGTTTTTTTTCCTGAAGGGCATTCTGCTGACAAAGATTGTTCATAAAGATGTTATGTAAACTTCTTTTCAAAACTTTTTCCTTTTTAGCACTCGTTATCTGTATATGAAGAGTATGTCTTCGTCCGTGCCATGGGAACGTCTTGCCTCGTCCAGATTGGTGAAGGAACAGCAACACAGCTCTGTGGGAGAAAATACAATCACAAATGTGACAAACTTGTGTGATTATTAAAAAAAAAAAAACACCCATTTTCAATTAAAAATGTATTGTCCATGCTCTTCAACAGTTCACTTTTTTCTGATCTGCCAAAATTTCAACTTTAATTTCTTATTTTAACAGAAAACAAAAAGTAGGTTTTTTTTCTATTTTGGGTGTCTGCAACCCTCTAAAATTGTTTGGTGTTGTTTTGCATTGCTTGTTGCACAAACTGATCCACCTTGCATGTGGACTGGTTCCCGGTCCCTATATTATCTATCCTGCGTGGGGGGATGGGAACCAGCCTCCCCCGCAAGAACTGAATTATTGTCGGGCCGCAAAATTAGTAAAGCAATTCTTACAAAACTAAACGTGGGTTGATTGTTTTGCATTTGATGTCTGGTTCATAAGTAAAATACTAATTATTGCTAGAAAAACAGCAAATTAGAGGGGAAAAAATCTATTTTTTCAGGGGAAAACGCCAAATAGTACAGACAGTATATGTTGATAAAGTAGAACATGAAATTGGGCAATTTAATTTCTTGCAATTGCTAAGACCCATTTACAGGCATATATTTCCTCCCAAACAGAAAAAAATCGGTAGAATTGTTTTACCTTCCAAAATTCCCGGGTTACGGTACAAAAAATGGTTCTTCGTTAAGTCAAGGCCGCACAGCACAATAAAGTGACCTGAAAAATAAAATAGTAGTCGTAACGTATGTGGATGTCAATTTTGATGTATGGACTACAAAAAGGCAAAATTTGGATATATTTTTTGAAAACTCTTTTTTCAACCAGATTTAAACAGCAACGAATGCCAAATACAGACCTTTTTAATTGAATTGAGAAAGTCTGGCTGACTGATGATCAGTTTCCTTCAAAATATAATTCATATCTTAAAAGGTTTTTAAATAAAGTTTGCTGAATCACTTATGAAATTAAAACAAATGCAATCAATGTTAAACCTAAGAACGTAATGGTATCATCATTTTACTGTCACTGGTTAGACATTTTCAATCCAGTCATCAATTTATTTTGAAAACAAACGTAAATCTGCACTTGATTGACTTGAATCTTACCTACATAACCACCTCCCCTCCCCGTGTCACAAAATGAAAAGCAATCAGCGCATCCCTCACCATGCTGAAATGATAAACAAAAAAAAGACAAAAATGGATGCAGAGTTTTAACATTTACTACAAAGGTCAAAGCCCCTTCATGTCAATTTGTCTATGTGTCATTCTATAAATTTGGGGCCCACTTTTTTCCCGTCCCTGTTACATCTGACATCTATGATTTTATAATTCTGATGCACTCCTTAATGCAGTCATCCTCTAGAAGTGATTATGAATTGCAAACTACCTACCCAACTAATAAAAAAAGTACAAAGTTATTCTTAATGATGCTTAAATGACAAATTACAGTAATGTAAAGCCCGGTTCATACTTCACACGAAAGCAAGGCGAAGCGAAATTTGTGATGTCAACAATACGGCGAAGTGCGTCCACCATTGTTGATGACATGAATTTCGCTTCGCACTTGCTTTTGCGTGAAGTATGAACCGAGCTTAACACTTTGATAACAGGATAGGAAAAATGTCAAATTTTGGACCCTAAATTTATAAAACGACTCTTTTTTAATACCTTTTGGCTAGGCTTACACCGTTCACACTGCAGTATCGTGTTGTCTACGAGAACAATGGCAGGATTGTGACCAGACACATGGCTTACTATCTCTGCATTGGTCACAGACCTATCAAGCAAACAAACGAAGAAAAAACAAAATTATTAACTCTCCAAAGTAAATCAGGCATGCCAGTTTTCCGGCTATAGTAGACTTATGCAACACGTGTAGTATTGTGACGCGACTATGTATTGCACTCATGTCCAATTTTTCATAATAATTATTATTGACTTGTGATTGAGTTGTGATTTGTTTGTGATTGACTTGTGATTGACTTGTGATTGACTTGTGATTAACTTATGATTGACTTGTGATTGACTTGTGCTCTATTCATGATTGATTGACTTGTGACTGACTTGTGATTGACTTGTGATTGACTTGTGATTGACTTGTGATTGACTTGTGATTGACTTGTGATTGACTTGTGATTGACTTGTGATTGACAAGTGATCAATTTGTGATTGACTTGTGATCGACTTACAATTGACTAGAGATTGACGTGTGATTGACTTATAATTGACTAGTGATTGAGTTGCGATTAGATTGGGATTGACTTGTGATAATTTGACCGCAACTCGGCCCTTTACCTTTTCTCCACCTGGATTCCTTTGCTGGCAGCACTGGCAAAAAGGTCATTGACCCGCTCCTGTTCAGTAGTGAACTCAGTTTTGATTGCCTCGTTGTAGAAAGCCTGACCAAAAGAAAAAAATCAATTTAACAATTTGTTAAAGTGCAAAGATTTTTACAATTTCCTACTCTATTCCCAGGGATAAGAACAGTCCAGGTTAACAAATTTCACAGTACAACTGAAACTTACAACAAAAAAATGAAGGCTTTTGGCAAGAAATCTTCCTGAATTCTCCAAAACACCTACTTCGCAGAAACCCAACGTGGCGTTTTTGGACTTTTATTTCAAGGGGCATTGAGGTTCGTGAGTCATAGTGGCTGGGATGTACCATCTTTTATCCCGCAAAATCCTCTAATGTTGTATGTTGCAAAAAAATCCTTTTTGTCAATTTGTCCGTTGGTGCTTCCGCATTCACAAAGATCTAATTCTGAACCCAACTTATGGCAAATTTCTGGGATTTTTAGTCGGACTTTGGTTTTTTAGTTAAATAAAAACAATCTCTTACCACTTCTTGATATGTTGGATCTACCCCAAGAGTGATGGTGTATAGCTGATGCTTGACATTGTACTGCACCATCAAATGGGCCAAGTCTACCGTCCAAATACTGCTTGGAAAGGGGGGGAAAAAAACAACGATTTCAGCATTCCCAAGTTGTCCCCTGCAAATACGGTGTGTAGTTGTGATCTGATTGCAAGTGTTTCTCCTTCTGACTAACACTATTATAAGTGTTCCAAGTTTTGAGATGCCCAACTTTTTCACTTAAAGCATAAAGCACAGGAACTTTGTTAACCCTAAACCGCCCTGAATCCTTCAAAATCCCCCTTGCCAAAGTGGAGGAATTTGGAGGATTGAGGTTACATGGCAAAAGTGCATTACTGATTTCGTAGGATGCACTGTGTCAAGGTCTTGGGCCGGACCTTGTGTTGTTTTTGCTCAGCCATAAACAAGTATAGGCCTGGATTATGCTTGAAATCCTCCCTACTGCTCCAGGATGTCACTGGCCAAGCCTCAACATATTGACAGTCACTGCCGCAGGATTTTGCAGGATTTAGGCAGTGGTCACAGTCACTGCCGCAGGATTTTTGCAGGATTTAGGCAGTGGTCACGCCTCCACAGACCATATTCAAGAAAAAATGGAGGAATTTGCAGGATTGAGGCTACATCCTAGCAAAAAGGCCTAGGGACTTAGGGTTAACAAAGAATGTTTTGATTTCAGAGACAGACATTCAAATATTGAAAAGATCTGTTGGAGATGGGAAAGCTCCTCCAAAATTATAATAATATTAATTTATACAGCGCGTATATCAACCAAACAGGTTATTACAGTGCAGTACAATATTATTACCCCTGCTCACCGGGCCAATAAAAACATTCCAAAGACCATCTCAGCTCCCTGGGGAGTATACAGCTCGATGCTGCCATTTTGGCGCAAAGCAGCTAAAATCAATCACAATAACCATCTCTGCCCTCACAGGTACCCATTTTACTCCTGGGTGGGGAGAAGCAATGAGTGACAAAGTGCCTTGCCCAAGGGCACACCACCGTAAGCTGGACTCGAACCCACAACCTGCAGATTTACCCGCAAGATTATGAGTTCAATGCACCGGACCATGAGGCCACGGTTCTCCACAAGTACACGCACATCATTTCCACTCAGATGAAAGTACAGCTCACATCCCTAAAGCTATAAAGATTTTTGTACCTCTCACCAAAGCCCAGTCTTTCACAGATGTCGTCAAAACTTGCAGGTCCATCCTCAAATTCCGGATGAAGAAACCTGCAAAAGGGTTAGAAATTTAAACCTTTTCATCTTGCTGTGTGAGAAGAGAGGACGAGGATTTGATTATAAACCCCATGGTGGGGAAACTTGGGGAACTTGAAAAGCCTTTGGGAGAGTTCCGTTGTTTTATCTTCAAATTCCACAAGCGGTTTGCAAAAACAATCCGCATTTACCTATTTTGAAATTTTTCATCATGTTCATTTAAACTACTGCTCTCATTCGCACAATTTCTCCAGGGTTAACGAAACTGAGGTAAAATGTCTCGCTCAAAGACATAAGCACCGTGACGGCTGGCCAGGGCTTGAAACCACGAGACAATTTCCCCATGGTGAATGAAATTGCAATAAAATGCCTTGCTTGAGGACACAAGCACCGTGATCTCTGGTCGTCATGAGTGCGACACCCAAATCACTGCATGGACCATGATAAGCATTACCAAAGTGGCTCCGACTTCCAATGCTGAGTTTATTACAAGTCCTGTCACAAGTCCATCACAAGTCTGGTTACAAGTAAATCGCTTATCGATTCCCAAGTCCGGTCACAAGTAACACAGGGGATGGACAGGGGACGAACGCTTACAGAGGAATGCCTGTGTCTTTTAGTTGTAGTCTGAATGGCTTGTGTCTTGGCTTAGGACTGGAGGACTTGTGATGGGCTTGCGATGTCTTGTTAAGACTTGTGAGGACTTAACGTGAAGTCTTGTGGTGGACTGGACTGCAACACAGCTTACCTCAGGATCATCTTGGCGCAGGCCAGGCCACAATCCCAGTCTTCACCTTGGTGGATGTGTTGTATTTTGAGGCAGATACCATCCTGAGGTACGTCTGTAAACAAGTAATACATCAAGTGTAGTTATTACCCACCTGGTGTTACCGCAAACCGATACTGATAATGATACTCACCATACAAAGCCTAAAATCTTATGACAAATTAAAAACAAGGACAAATCGGCTTTTTTCCAAAAGCATTTTCCCCAATAGTCAAACTTTTTTTGGAATTGCTCTCAGCTTTGCTGTCAATACAGCTTAGGGTTGCAGTACAATGCAGTTGTATGAAGGGCCAAGTAATACGAAAGGGTCTTTAAATTGACCTCATTTGTGGGACCGATTTCAGCATACATTTGGCCTACAGAGGCATTGGTTATGTTCAAGACATTGGTACTGGTAGGTTTGGGGTGCCCCGCCCCTCCCCCCCCCCCCTTCCCATTCAAAATCTTGAATTGAACCATCATTTTCCTTTACTGCCCCCCCCCCCCACCTCCCCCTGAAAAATCTATGCACCCCAGGTGCCCCCAGAAGTTTAACGTCAGTTACGCCACTGCCAATATAAGCCTTATAAGGCATTCTAAAAAGGTAGTGGATATTTTGCCAGAGGTAATGACGGCAAACTAACGATTACTAAAGGTTTGCCGGCGGCAATCCATATCAACAGAGGGCGCTGTACTCTTTAAAATAGGGCTGAATTATAAGATGTATTAAATTCCCACCAAAAGTTGTGTAGCACGTTTGGTGTAATGGTTAAGCAAAGGCTCTAGAAAGCGGGATGACTCGCGCTCGATTCCGACCGCACCACATTTTAAAGGTTTTTTTTCTCATCCCCAAATAAATAAGGATATTCTTCTGTTATTATTTTAACATGTCTCAAACATTTTTTGCAGAGTATTACATTTTCTTTTTCAGATTTGTGGCTCTGGAGGATTTTTTTTTACATAGCGCATAATGATAATCTAAAATGCGTATTAACACCCACTGCACTGCTCGCTCACACCACGGAACACGTATTATAGACAGGTGGTCCGTGGGTCACACAGTTTCAGTCAGCGATATCACGCGAATCGGCCATGCACAAACTTTTTCCTCCATTCATATAAGCTAAATAATAACAATAGACCAATTAAAATTCCTTGAAATCAGTGGCGTAGCCACGGGGGAGGGGAGGGGGGCGTGGGGGGGGGAGGCCCCCCCCATGAAACCTTGTCTCCCCCATTCGCCCCCCCCCCTGCACTTTTTGAAGGGTGGGGGACACAATATCAAATGTCCCCCCCCCCCCAGATTTTTGAACACGTGTCTCATTGACAGGGCCCTACTATATACTACATTGTATCTTTTGCTTTTGCAGAGTATTACATTTTCTTTTTCAGATTTGTGGCTCTGGAGGATTTTTTTTTAAAGGGAAATAAAGTCCGAAATTATAAAATGGTCTGAATCCCATCTTGTGAATACGAGGTAACAACGATAATTTTGGCATGGAGCCAGACTAAAACTTGTCACCGGAAAATGTTTAAGTACAAAAAAACAGTAACTGCGCATGTTCAGTGCATATCCGGCAAACTAACGTTTACTAAAGGTTTGCCGTCTCCGGCAAAATATACACTGCCTTATTTTTGCTTTAGAAGCATACTCGCCCTCTTTATAGGCTAATCAGAAAGTGCTGCCTTTTTCAAATGTCCATTTTTCGTGATATTTCCAGATTTGTTTGCACACGTTTGCGTATCAAAATTTCAACATGAAATTTCACAAAATTAGACATCTGAAAAAGGCAGCACTTTCTGATTAGCCTATAGTATAAAGAGGGTGAGTATGCTTCTAAAGCAAAAACAAACTGCAAAATAAGCAGATAAGAGCGGTGTGAAGTTGGTTAAGTACTTATTCCTCATTCCTTGTTCGATATTCGCATGCTAAATACTAATTTTTTGTACATGATGGAAGTGTGGCCTTTATTTACGGAGGTAGGTCTAGTCCAATAAATTGGCTACATTTTTGGGGCTACGGCCAATTAACGCTGCAAAAAAATTCTGAATATTGGCAAAACTGAACTAGGCCTACCATGCCCACCGGCTTTATCACCCATTTGTGTAGTGCTTGCTGGCTTTAATGCTTGCTGGCTTTAACACAGCTGACACAAAGATTTCCCTTGACTTGTGTGAAAATCTGAGCAAAAACGTTCTTCCACTTCCAGTGCCCGAAGTTAATATGTTGTGAAACGAAAGGTAAAACACATGGTTAAAGCCCCTGTCAAGTAGGCCTATGTTGTTATTATCGTGCTGCGGACGACAGGGTGTTACTTCGCATGTACTCGCAGGGTACTACTGCCACCTCGCCCATTTGCCACTTGGCCCATTCGCCACTTGGCCCATTCGCCACTTGGCCCATTCGCCACTTGGCCCATTCGCCACTTGGCCCATTCGCCACTTGGCCCATTCGCCACTTGGCCCATTCGCCACTTGGCCCATTCGCCACTTGGCCCATTCGCCACTTGGCCCATTCGCCACTTGGCCCATTCGCCACTTCGCCTATTTACCACTTCGCCCACTTGTTCATAGTGTACGTACGTACGTACGTGGGTGCACTGAAGAAATCTACGCGACTCATTTAGCATAAAAATCTCCCCCCCCCCCCCAATTTCGCCAAGTTTTGCTACGTGTTGCGACACAAGACACTGCTTAGGAAGAGAAAAACAATATTTCGTTTAAATCTTCTGTCTAGTTTGTCTTCTTTTCGTCACCAATCATCTGGCCAAAATTCAATTCAATGCTCCAATTTACTTTTGAGATAGCATGTTGTCGTGGACTATCGTTCCTGTGCAAAAGTGAGGCATATGTTCTGTTAGGACTGCCACTGCAGCCCATCGCAAAGTTTTGCTGCGTGTTGCGACACAAGACACTGTTTGGGGAGAGAAAAACAATATTTCGTTTAAATCTTCTGTCTATTTTGTCTTCTTTTCGTGACCAATCATCTGGCCACAATTCAATTCAATGCTCCAATTAATTTTTGAGATAGCATGTCGTGGTTGACTATCGTTCCTGTGCAAAAGTGAGGCAAATGTTATGTTCGGACTGCCACTGCAGCCCATCACCAAGTTTTGCTACGTGTTGCGACACAAGACACTGTTTAGGGAGAGAAAAACAATATTTCGTTTAAATCTTCTGTCTATTTTGTCTTCTTTTCGTGACCAATCATCTGGCCACAATTCAATTCAATGCTCCAATTAATTTTTGAGATAGCATGTCGTGGTGGACTATCGTTCCTGTGCAACAGTGAGGCAAATGTTCTGTTTGGACTGCCACTGCAGCCCATCGCCAAGTTTTGCTACGTGTTGCGACACAAGACACTGTTTGGGGAGGGAAAAACAATATTCCGTTTAAATCTTCTGTCTATTTTGTCTTCTTTTCATGACCAATCATCTGGCCAAAATTCAATTCAATGCTCCAATTAATTTTTGAGATAGCATGTCGTGGTGGACTATCGTTCCTGTGCAAAAATGAGGCAAATGTTCTGTTTGGATTGCCACTGCAGCCCATCGCCAAGTTTTGCTGCTTGTCGCGACACAAGACACTGTTTAAATAAAAGAGTATTGGTGCGGATGCTGCACTGTTGAACAAAAATAACAACTCAGTTTCCGATCAATAACTCAAGAAATACATCTTGTATTAAACTGAAATTTCGTGCAATTAATTTCCACGTTGTGTAACAGAGGGGTATTGAATATCATGAGAAACAGTCCAACGATAAAAATAATATGATCGTAACAATGTAGTGTTTTACACGCGAAAAATACACATTGATTTTCATTCGGATTGCATTTGTTGCGCTTAAAACACTGTTTTGAAACGGCCAATATTGCTTCATTATTTGACGGTTTCTTATGAAATTAACTCTCCTAATGTTAAACATAATGACAAATCACTAGACAAAAAATCAAATTAATCATCTTGTATTCCTGGAGTTGTTGCCCCCCAAACGAGTTTGGTGGTAGATAATTATCGAGACCACTAATTATGTGGCGCGCCCTCTATCAAATAAAAGAATATTGGTGCGGATGCTGCACTGTTGAACAAAAATAACAACTCAGTTTCCGATCAATAACTCAAGAAATACATCATGTATTAAACTGAAATTTCGTGCAATTAATTTCCACGATGTGTAACAGAGGGGTATTGAATATCATGAGAAACAGTCCAACGATAAAAATAATATGATCGTAACAATGTAGTGTTTTCCACGCGAAAAATACACATTGATTTTCATTCGGATTGCATTTGTCGCGCTTAAAACACTGTATTGTTACGGCCAATATTGCTTCATTGTTTGACGGTTTCTTATGAAATTAAGTCTCCTAATGTACACGTCATGCCGTACGTACATGTACGTACGAACAAGGGGGTGGACGAAGTGCAGTGGCGTAGCCACCGGGGGGGGGGGGCGTGTGGGCGACCGCCCCCCCCCCCATGAAACCTTGTAGCCCCCCCCCCCCAGTCGCCCACCCACTGAGATTTTGAGTTCCTAAAAAAATTATCATTGATCTAAATCTAAATAGTAGCGAATGATCCAGTGATGACCACTGAGAAACGACCCTTCGACCGGCGACCGCGGACCAGTAAACTGACAACTGGCGTGACATAGCGCATAATGATAATCTAAAATGCGTATTAACACCCACTGCACTGCTCGCTCACACCACGGAACACGTATTATAGACAGGTGGTCCGTGGGTCACACAGTTTCAGTCAGCGATATCACGCGAATCGGCCATGCACAAACTTTTTCCTCCATTCATATAAGCTAAATAATAACAATAGACCAATTAAAATTCCTTGAAATCAGTGGCGTAGCCACGGGGGAGGGGAGGGGGGCGTGGGGGGGGGGGGGAGGCCCCCCCCCCCATGAAACCTTGTCTCCCCCATTCCCCCCCCCCCTGCACTTTTTGAAGGGTGGGGGACACAATATCAAATGTCCCCCCCCCCCCAGATTTTTGAACACGTGTCTCATTTACAGGGCCCTACTATATACTACATTGTATCTTTTGCTTAGAAAATATTGGTTAAAGTGGTCAGAAATTGCCTCAGATAGCACCACAGAGCATTTAGAATCCAAAATTTTTCGGGGCCCTTAAGCGGGCCCCGAACCCCACGCCTATAGCTCAGAATACCTGTAGCTGATTCAATGACTCCAACCGCGAAAACAATGTTAAAAATTTTTTCTTATGCCTTTAGCTGAGAAAACCTCGTAAATAATGTTTAAATTATTATCTTTTGTGCTAAGATAATTATTGGTCAAAGTGGTAAGAAATTGCCTCAGATCACACCACAGAGCATCGAGAATCCAATTTTTTTCGGGGCCCTTAAGCGGGCCCCGAACCCCACGCCTATAGCTCAGAATACCGATAGCTTATTCAATTACTCCAACCTCGAAAACGATGTTAAAAAAATTATCTTTTGCTAAGAAAATGTTAGTTAAAACATAGAGGAAAGTGGTAAGAAATTGCCTCAGATCACACTACAGAACATCTAGAATCCAATTTTTTCGGGGCCCTTAAGCGGGACCCGAACCCCCACGCCGTAAGGGCTTCGTGCTTCGCGGTCACATCAGTTCTGATCAAGTATGTCCCCCCCCCCCACACTTTTGGGAAGCGATTGACGCCCCTACATGACGCCCCCGCCCCCATGAAATGTTCCAGCCCCCCAGCGCCCCCCCCCCCCCCCGAAACATTCCTGGCTACGCCCACTGACGAAGTGGCAAATGGGCGAAGTGGCAAATGGGCGAAGTAGCAAATGGGCGAAGTGGCAAATGGGAGAAGTAGCAAATGGGCGAAGTGTTAATTGGGCGAAGTGGCAAATGGGCGAAGTGGCAAATGGGCGAAGTGGTTGTGGGCAACCGACTCAGGGCGCCAGATCTGTCAGCTGCTCGAGATCGACACCGCTAAAATGAATTAGCGCCCTCTCCCCAGAAGAATCCCTTAATTATTTCTTCGCTTAGCTCGATCATCTACATATGGCTCGATCCCCTGGCCCTCCGCTTTTTGGGATGTGGCAAAGAAGTTGCCCCTTTCCGGTACTTTTCTTTTAAATCCGATATACTTTCCCAACTATCCGTTTAAAATTACGATGTATAAAATATGAATAAAACCTATTCCGCGTTTATATTGACATTTCACACATTCAATGAAATGAAATGCTTGGAAACTGACCTAAATGAGAATTTGGCTCATGCAATCATTTTTTTAAAAATGATTTCCTTGAAAAATCACCTTTGTGTCCTACTTAACTTTATTTTTAATTTTTGTTTTGCCATTTTAAGGGTATCATTTGGTGCCTTTTTGTCTTTTTTTATGCGAATATCAATTTCCATATTCATGAGCAAAAGTGAGTACTGCTATTTAATTCAGCACCAAAAGTTGTCATAATTTTTTCTTTTCTTTGGTGATTTGTTTTAGTGTCAGTACATGGCAGGCCAATGAGCACACTTGTTTCACAAATGTTTTCAATGAACACATTTTTGCGTTCACAATATGAACAGAAAACTCCTAAAATGAATTGTCTCTGCCTGAAAATGCAAAATCCGCAAAATCATGGAAAAGTTTTGAATGTGAACCAAAAAATGTATGTGAAATAGTTTTCATACATTTAATAGGAGTAGAAGGTTTAAGAAATTACGTTCCTGAGAAAAATTCATGTCATAGTAACCCTTTAAACTGTAAAGCCTTTAAAAAAATAGTATCCAAAAATAACCAGTTTCATCAGATTTTTTTTGATCATCTCTAAAGAATTCTTCATCGGACTGTCTGTGAAACATAATATTGTATAGAAATAATCTCAGCATTTCACTTTTTCATTTCATTTTAATTTTCGCGGATTCGTGTAGCAACTTTTATTTGAAACTGACTTTTTTCCACGAAATAAAACGATGATCTACAGGGGCGTTAAACGGATCTGAAAACACCCCCGCCCCCTCTCCCCGGCCCTTGATCCAAACTGATCCAACGATTCCAAAAGAGTTCATGATTGTGCACACGTGTTGTGTGAATTGTTCACACTTGACTTCATTCTCACTCAAGTGGAAAGTTCAACTTCACTTTTGGTGTGCGTGTAGTCTGTGTCCTTCTAGTGCCGAAAAAACCAGACATAACAAAAAACAAGCATTTCGTGTAAATTTTGATTTTGTATGTGTTTCCCACAATAAACAATGTAAATAAGCAAGTTTTCCCACTAAACCAAAGCAAACCAGATTGCTGCGTCTACTCATGGAGGAATTCCTCCATGGTTTCTACAACTTTGCACGTGACGTGGACTCTCATCGTCAACTACACTTAAAAAATGTTTTTCCACATCAGCCGCAGATGACGTATGCCCATTCATTTATTACTGGGCTTATGGCTGTGTAGCCGCATCACCGCCAGTACGATAGAAATTAGTCCTTCTTGACATGATATTCTAGGAACTAATTGGATGATACAGAAATAATTTATGATTTATGTCGTAACGGTTAACTTTAAAATGCATATATAAATTAAAAAATCATCCGAAATTGAGACAAACGTAACTTGAATAGGTTTTGGGCACGCGTAGGAATTTCAGCCGGAACTATTTGAAAACCTCTCCGTAAATGTCGGCCATTTCTGGCCACTTGGGCAAAAATCACGTTGGTAATTCACCGTCGGAAAATCTTACAACTAAGGAAAACACCGGGAAGGTGTGATTTTTTTTCTGGGAGAGGGACAGATCTACTAAGTCACCATGGCTCAGAATTTGCCCATCCGCTTCCAGGAGCATTTACAGGTCTGTATGAATTTAAAAACACCGGTGGTTGGAAATTCACAGTATCAATTTTGTAATGTGTGTACTAATGCATTGGATTTGTGCAGTATGTGGACTCGACCCAGTGTAACACGCCCTCTCAAAATGGCCGCCACGTGCCGGTTTGGGGGCAGGTGTCCGTTGCAATTTCTTCATGTTCTTGGGTTGAAATTTGATCAAGATTTCGCAGTATTCACATTGAAATCATTACTGTTTATGCCGTATTTGTCTGTCGTTTTTTTTATGGTTTTGGGGGATTTTGTATGTGTAAATGAAGACTGTAAAATGAACAGAATGTTTTGTTTCAGTTCGAGGTTTGCCGGTTATTTTGTAAAATTGTGAAGGTCTTTCACATTTTTTTTGTGTGGGTTACATTGTTTCTTCAAATGTTGAAAGAATTTCCTGTTTTTGTAATTGCCTTCAATCATCATATCTGTTGCCTTAAAATATAGGTAACTCAAACATTATTACAATTGTATTAATTACATTAATTTAACAGTTGGAAATAGAAATAAGTAGGCCTAGGCCTATTTTGGTTTCGGGGTTTGTTTGCCATTCAACACATTTTTGTTCTTTCACTTAATGCATAGCATGTGAGCTGGTGCTTTCACAAACATCATTTTCATCAGTTTACCACATATTGTCTTCTAAATAAAAAAACCCCACTGCTTTCTTGCCCATATCTTTCCTGTTCTTTTTCAACCATACCAGCTATTTTGGTGAATATCATAATACAATACAATAGTCAGGATAGTGGATTTCTGTTGTCTTAAATGGGCAAGGGGTCCGATCCCGAAGTAGACTTTTACCAAATGTGTCAACTTAGATCAAGTAATCAAAGTCAAACCGCTAAAATTAGTTCCTTGTTTAGCTTTATTCCCAAAGCAAATTTGTTCCACTTCCAGGAACCTTATGAATATGGTATGACCTGATTTCCTCCAGCTTTCATAATTTCCCAACAGTGGCACCGAAAAAGTGAAACCTGTATATTTAGCTCATCATAGCATCTTGTTTTTACCGAACCCCGTTCCAAATTTCTTCCCTTCGTCCATTATTATCACTGAGCCTAATAACCCTAACTCACTACTTAGGTTTTATTAAGTAGAAGACCATGTCTGTCAAAATCCATCACTCACTGTGCTTCACGTAATGCTTCAGTTCAGGACCAAATCTGTCGAAACCCACCACTGGTGTTGGTGGATTTCGATGGACTTGGTGTTGGTGAACATGGGTAATCTACCAAAATTCCCCCCCCAAGGGGGGGGGGGGATTTTGATGGAGTTGGTAAGATTAGGGTTAAGGTCATCTTTAACATGCAGTGAATGAGGTCAGAAAAGGTTGCAAGTGGTTTAAACATATTAAGATCTAATAATTCCCATGCAGTACCCCGCTAAAGGCTATGTTTGTCAAGTATCTTTCCTGTCAAAGTTTACATCAGGATGGAGAAAGTTCAAATGCACCAAAGCACCAAGAAAGTTTCCTGAGTCCAACTCTCAAGTTCTATGAATAACCATTGACTGGCACTGGATGGATTTCACTCACATCCTGTCTGACCTTTTGACCCCAAAAACTTGGCACGTACCATGCTCTTAAAAGGTTCATTCCTAGTTATAGCATTCATACAGACGACTCTTATTACAGCAGACTGATAGGGAAGAGATAAAGATTGCTACATTGGTAGTCCAAGGTCTCGACAGATACTTCAAGTTCTTTCTGATTGTAATCTACACTCCACCATTCCTTTGGAGAAATAATTCCTGAAGCTGTGAATCACAGATGAAAACAGATTAATCAATACCTAAATAAATATAATTAAGAGAATGTTCTCTGTTGATTTGTGACTGTCCTTTTCAGTTGCATTCACATGTGAAAGTTTTTTTTGTGGGAAGTTGGGTGGGGTTGAGGGTGGGGTGAGGGAAGGGTTAGGTAGTGTTGGTGTGGGTGATATTAGATACATAGTATATTGTGGAAAATTTAATCTGTATTTTTACATTTATCAAATAGGTACATTGTAGTTCTAACAATGTAGATGTAAGAAGGCTTTTAAAAACTTTCACTTTTTATACTCCTAAACCAAATTGTTGCTAAATCCAACAAGATCCAACCATACAAGGGTTTTAGATTGGAACAAGTCAATTTTCTTGCTGTTTTATCGTGTTGGATTTTGTTTTTGTTCGTCGGGGTGCTTTCAAAATCCTTGGAAGTTGGAGCAGAGTTGGGATGAATCAAAGATTCTGGCCCGGCTGCTATATTGTAAATTATTCCAAACAGTAAAGGAATTATGGAATGAGAGAATTATAACCTGAATAAAAGGAAACTAAAGCTTCCTTCCACTGTATGTGTACCTAATGCCCAGGAAGTCTGATAAAATCATGAAATAGAATGGTCTAGGTACAGGTACAAGTGCTGATGAAGTGGATTGATAACACGCTTGTTCCTGAGTTCATTGTTAGAAATGGTGTCTATTTATAAAAGAAAAGAAAAAAAGGAAGTTTGACCCGATGTCACAGGATATTTTGGAACTTGATCGCTTTCATTGACTATTTCAATTGAAATCATTTTCGTTAAAGGCGATGTACAACATTTGCAAACATCAAAAAACAAAACTACCAAATTGTTATGAAATACCTTACTTGACTGTAAGTGAATAATAGTCTCAAGCATCCTGTGAAATCATGGCACCTGGTTTGCTGTCATTTTCAAGAAAAGTGGAAGTTTTGCATCATTTTCCAACGATTTCCTCCAACAAATGCTCAACATAATATTTGTCTTAGGGTGTTTCAATACTTAAGAAAGATTGAAATCAGTTGAATGTACTATGACAAAAATATGAGCAATTTATGTATTAATTTGGACGTAACATTGACACCATGTCAATATTACATCCAAATATTTTGTTATTGCCATTTTTTACACATATGTAAATATTACCCAAACTGACATTGCATATTTATAACTGGACACCTAATGCACCAAGAAAAGCTTTTGTTTTGGAATAGTCAGGGTTCAAATATAGCAGAAACAATATCTTAATGTGGATGTAACTGTGTCAAAATCACTCAATGGAAGTGTGGTCTACACAAGACCATTCATTGGTGTTACGGGGTACCTATTTCAAATTTTGGGGCCAAGGTGATACTAAAACGAGTCTAATTCACACAGTGAGCCAGTCATTCAGTCAGTCAGGCAGACCCTGCCTTATTTCTAATATGGGCGGAATTTGTAAAATAGAGAAATATTCACAGTTTCATTTTGGATCAGCCAGTAATGCTTACTCCCAGGTCATTTTAGCTTGGAAACCCTAAACTCGAACCATGCACAGTACACCAGTGACTTTTTTGTGAACACGCACAGATAAGGACACCCAGTTTCATGTGAAGTACACGTTTGCATGCATATCCCGGGGATTTTTGGGATAGTTAAGGTTGAAGGGTTCTGACAAAGTTACTCAGCATGACTCCCGTTTCCTTTAACCACATGAACAAAAAAGAGATTTTGAACCAGAAAATGTGGTTTTGGAAAAAATGAAGCCATGTGTTGAGTGAGTCATCGAAATACCTGCCAACAGGAACCTCCCACTTGTGTCTAAGTTTAACTATGATGATAGTGATATGGTGGTCTTTAATCGTGTGATTCGTAGCATCAGTCGCAAGTTTAAAACAAAATCTTTAAAATTCTGTAAATTATTATTATTATTTTTTTATAGGGGCCTGTTCAATATGTGCAATATTTAAATGCATCCATTTGTTAATCACAATCACCTTACCGAATACCAAGACGACAATTTGCCATCGTCAAAAATATAAAATCCACCCACTCACACATAATCCGAAGTAAAAACATAAACGTCAAGATGCGCTATTATGTGAATTGTGAAACAGGCTTATGAAAACCCTGATTGGAATCCTTAACTGTGTGGGGTTTTTTTTAGCAGATTTTTAAGAGAGCAGTGATTAAGCCCATTGATATGCAAATTAATTGGTTTGAGACCAAATAGTATTAAGTCAGTGTTGGGTGCAAGAGACCCTGGCCAAATTAGTCCAGAGTTGTGTCATGCTTCCAACAATTTCTAATTGATTCTGTGGCATTCAGAGGAAGCTCAGAGGTTTAGCCCATATTGATTCAACATAATTTATGCAGACGTAGTCTGCGTAGGCTTTAGGAATTAAGAACGCAAGAGCATGTACAGAAATAGCCTTTGACACAGGGTTTAAGCTATTAGGATATCTGGCCTGCGGGGCTGCATGTCCTGGACAACCCGGGAGGCTGCATATATTTTAGATACCCCACTTCATCATGAAAATTTAATGCAACAAATTAGATCCCCTATTTTTTTATTTCAACTCAACAGAAATATTGACACTTAATTTATAATGCAGCCCAAGCCTCTTTATCTTTGAGATTTTTAACAAATTGTGACTAATTTAATTAGCATTTAACACGACATGAGAAAAAATATTGGGAAAATTTTTTTCATAAAAGAAATTGTTGATTTGAAATCACAAACTAAACTTTAATTTGCATAACTCTTTTGGGGGGATTTTTGAAATGTTTATTTCGTCCTTGCTTTTGTGTTATTATTTGTCCAGGTTCTTAGAATGTTTTTCTTCTCCAGAAGTAGGAAACATTATTGTGCTGTACTGTAATGACTTATTATGCATAATATGAGGCGTTTGTGCAAAGTTGGTACCCTGGAAACTTACATTTGAAAAGAGCAATTTGTTTTGCATACATAAACTGGTAAATTTACAAATTTATACACATTTGATTTGAACCCATGTAGTGTTTACTGAAAAAAATACAATCGTAACAGCTACAGTGCCAGAACTAAGGCTGCAGATATCACTAAGCTAAAATAATACCATTCAAATGCGCATGCTAATTTTGAGGTTTACATTTCGTCATAAGATATTTAAAAGTAAAGACTGCATTTTGCATATTTACTTTTCGTTTCTTGCATTATTTTTAGTTTATTGCTGGTA